GAGTGTGAGGATTGCAGTTTGAAGCCAACTGGTTCATGAGACACTTATCTCCAGTTAGCTAGAAAAAAGCAAGAAGTGGAGCTGCGGTTCAAGTGGTAGAATAAAAAAGCCAAGGGATAGCATTCTGGCCTTAAGTTCAAGCCCCAATACAAAACAAAACAATAAAAAGAAGAAAGTATTATTATTATTTTTTTAGCTCTGAAAATAGAGACTGGCGGATGGTGGGGATTAGTTTGAGAATTTGCTGAGTTTTATAATTGGATGGTTGTACTACATTATTATTGTTGTTGTTGTTATTATTATCAGAGTATGTACAGTAGGCCTTTGGTATCTTCAGGTCTATGATTGTAAGGAGACTGCCCTTGAGGGAAAACCATGAATGTTTAGGATAAATGGAGTTTAGTATGGTAATATGGATGCTTGTTAACTTTTCCTACAGCACTGCTCAACTTCCATTAATGACATCTTTCAACACTTTATCACTTAAGTATATCCACTTTTTTGTATATATTTTTTTATTGTAAATATATTGTACAGAGTGGTTACAGTTACATGAGTAAGTTAATGAGTACATTTCCTGTCGAGCATTGTTACCTCCTTCTTTGTTTTTCCCCTACCATTCCTTCCCTCCCCACCTATTTGACTCCTCTCTTCTCCCCTTCCCCTCCCCCCACCTCAGTTGTAAAGTTCATTTTCAACATAGTGTCTTGTACATCTTATTGTTACAATGGATCATCCTGTATCCTTATTTAAGCATTTTGTTATTTCCCTTCCCCTCCCCAAATTAGAAAAATGTATATATAAGATGCAGGGCACCAGAATAAAATATAGTGAAAACGGATTATACCATGGAGGAAGAACATACAAAAGAAACAAAAAAAAATCATATACATTAAAAACAACAGCAAGAAAGATAAAACTACTTTTGCCTTGCTTTATGGGCATCTTTGGTGCAATTCAGAACAGAGAAAAACTCAGCAAATTACCTAGTGATTTAAGCACTACTGACTGCGTAATGCATGTACAGAAATATAAAATTTCTGTTTTTGAAAAATCTTTATTGAACTGGGTGTTGGTGGCTCATGCCTGTAATCTTAGCCACTCAGGAAGCTGAGATCTGAGGATCAAGGTTCAAAGCCAGCCCGGGCAGGAAAGTCTGTGAGACTCTTACCTACAATTAACCACCATAAAACTGGAAGTGGTGCTATCATTCAAGTGGTAGAGGGTTAGCCTTGAGCTGAAGAGCTCAGGGACACAATGTAGAGAGTTCAGATGCCCAGAGTTCAAGCCCCACGACTGACAAAAAAAAAGAAAAAGAAAAATCTTTCTTGTTTAAAATCTATTATGTTTTGACAGCACTTGGTTAAATCTGCAAATAAGGCTGGACTATTTGGTTTTTGCCTCTATCCTATCAACTTCCTTCATACTTTAAAATTAACAGATTTGATTCCACATACACTGTTTTAATAAGTACAAGAAGTGGACATTTTATTTTAATCAGTAAACTTCTTCTTTTTTTTTTTTTGGTTTTGTTGTTATTGTTGGTCATGGGGCTTGAACTCTGGGCCTGGGCACTGTCCCTCGGCTCTTCAACTCAACTCTACCACTTGAGCCACAGTGCCACTTCTGGTTTTTTTGGTGGTTAATTGGAGATAAGAGTCTCACGGACTGGGGCTGGGACAGTCGCTTAGTGGTAGTGCGCTCGCTTTGCATGCTTAAGGCCCTGGGTTTGATTCCTCAGCACCATATAAGCAGAAAAAAAAAAGCTGGAAGTGGCGCTGTGGCTCAAGTGGTAGAGTGCTAGCCTTGAGCTGAAGAGCTGTGGGACAGCACCCAGGCCAA